ACTCCCCAACTTTTTCTCTTGAAAAGTTTAAATATACAGAAAAACTAAAATGCAGTACAACGAACATTCATATTTCCTTCATATGGATTCATCAGTTGGTAACATTTTGCCAGTTTGTTTTGTCTCTCTGTTATTTATGTGTATGTGAGAGAAAGACAAAGCAATATGTATATTATAATATGGAAAGATACAGCAGCATAATGTTTGTTCTATATATAGATATCTCCTAAATATATATATGTGTGTAAAAATGTGGTAGTTCTTGACACTTCATCTCATAGGGATTGTATTAAGTTAGTTTGTGCTGCTTTAACAAAGTACCATAGACTGGGTAGCCTATAAACAACAGAAGGGTATTTCTCACAGTTCTAGAGGCAGGAATTCTAAGATTAGGGTCCCAGCATGGTTGGGTTCTGGTGAGGGCCCTCTTCCAGGCTGCAGACTGCAGACTTTTTGTAACCTCAGTTGGCAGAAAGGCCCAGAAAGCTTTCTGGGAATCCTTTTTTAAGGTCACTAATCCCATTTATGAGGGCTCTACCCTTATGACCTAATCACTTGTCAAAGGCCCTCCTTCCTAATAGCATCACCTTGGGGTTAAGGTATCAATATGACAATTTTGGGGGAGACACAGACATTCAGTCCATTTCGGGGATAGTTTAAAATCATTTCTAAACACCTCAACGAAACATACATTCCTAACATGATTGTATTCAGAGTGAATTAAAAATGCATTGAGCAGTATCTCCTGAGCTAGACTTTAAAAGTAGTCTTTAGTAAAAGCAAACACACACCTTGCCCCTCCCCCACCCACACACTAACCCTTAATTTCTGGGACCTTGTTGATCTGAATATATGGAACCATCTGAAATAGCCAATAATTACTGTTGTTCTTCATGACATCATTTTGTAAAATGTTTTTTCTTTTTTTGAGATGGGGTCTAGCTCTCTTGCCCAGGCTGGAGTGCAATGGCGTGATCTTGGCTCACTGCAACCTCCATCTCCTGGGTTCAAGCGATTCTCCTGCTTTAGCCTCCCGAGTAGCTGGGATTACATGTGTATGCCACGACACCTGGCTAATCTTTGTATTTTTAGTAGAGATGGAGTTTCACCATGTTGACCAGGCTGGTCTCAAACTCTTGGCCTCAGGTGATCTGCCCACCTTAGCCTTCCAGAGTGCTGGGATTACAAGCATAAGCCACCACACCCGACCTGTTTTTGTTTTTACTAAATTAGAAAAACGTTGAGTGGGTAAAGCAGCTTACTGGATGGCTGAGACCCAAGCTGTCTACCATGGACGGCCAAGTTGCCCTGCTGAAGAGTATCAGATAACATTCCTTTCAGTTATAGAAAACCTTTCAGTTATAGTAATATTAAAATGTTATGTTTTATGTTTTTTAAACTGTGAAAACAGTTTTTAAAACCTGATGAAAGTATGGCATTCTAGATTTGTGCCAGATGTCCATTAAGTGATTTACAAATGTTGAGAATCTAAGGATTCTTAGAATTCTTACTTATGGAGGTTTTTGTGTTCATCCAAACTAAAATTGTCATGCAAAGGGTCCCTATTAAATACTGTCAAAACAATTTGACCTAATTGACATTTATAAAACAATAGCAGAATATGCATTTTTGGAAAGTGCACATAAAATATTTACCCAACAACAATCGCCTAATTTATTTTTAAAGAAGTTTAAATGAAATTAAAACTTTGGTTGGAAAAAACTCTCTTCTGTCTCCAGTGATTCAATTAGGGAAGCTGTTAATAGGTAGAGAGGGAGAGAAGCCAGCTCATGACTTAATAGATATCAACTACTCAAGGTGTTATGCAGTGAAATTCTTCCTTCTGTTTCAAACTAAAACTAAATAAATCAAAATTATAACATGGAACATGGTATTCAGGCTTATTAAATTATACGTTTTTTTTCTGCCTCTTAATAGGAAAAAACATTTTATCTAGAAGGACTTGTATTATAGTGAGTTTCCATATATTTTGTATTTCAATTACTAATTTTCAAAAAACTAAAACATTATATACTGTATACTATTATATGCTATAAAATACACTTAATAGAAATTATACTGAGCATATGTAAATCTTTCTTTCAAGATGCAGAAACCACCACACCTAAAACTGAAGGTACATTAATCATGAATTAATATAGGACGTGAGCCCAAGTTTAAAATACTTAACTTGTAGTGTTACTTTGCATGAAATTGTGATCTGCCCTAGCAGATTTTAACATTGAATGTGTGTATCTTGAAGGAGGAATATCACAAACGTAACTTCACAGAGGTGCTGTCTCCCAATATGTACAACAGTAAACTCTGGGAAGCCTCGGGCCACTGGCAGCATTACAGCGAGAACATGTTTACCTTTGAGATTGAAAAGGACACTTTTGCCCTCAAACCCATGAATTGTCCAGGGCACTGGTGAGTATTAAAAGTAAAGCAGATCTTTTCATGAGAGCACATAGCATACTTCATCACAATTAGCTTTTAATATTATTTTGCTTTGTGGAATAAAAGAATCCCTTTAATCTGAAGAGTGGTGATTACTAATTTTTACTAAGTCATTTCATTCTGGAGAATGGACTTACTTTTGAAAATATATTTGATCTTTCGTAGGTATGGAATGTTAGCTGGTAACCACTGCATTTTTTGTGCTGATTAAAGGATAATGTTATGTGTCAATTTTGTAAGTTTTATAATATTTGTCTTCCTAATAGTAATGCACTTCAAATGTTCAATTTGCATAATATTCAGTTCTTTTATACTGTTTGGGTGGATTGGACCAAGATCAGTGAGATTATAATCAATGGCTTTCTGGATTTCATTGATTCCAAGATACCATTTTTCTTTCACATTTCAACATTTATGAAGTTGAAATGCATATTATAGTTGGTGGCATCGTAGATTTGTATCATAATTTAATAGGTTATTTTCTTAGTAACATAAAATAAAGGTACATTTAATAATCAATGCTGTCTTTGATTTATGAAAAGCTGTAATGATCATAAAGTTGGTATGCAAATTCAACCCTGAAAGTCAAACATATTTTACAATTGAAACTGAATAGGCATAATTGTCCACCAAAAAAATCCCAACAATCGTAGTTTTTGTATTATCAACGTACATGGTTTCAAGTAAATTTATATAGAAGGTAATAAAACCGGTATCTGAATACTGAAGAAAGCTCTTTGCCCTTTGAAGTGAAATTTAACTTTATGATGATGTCATGTAAAAAATATATGTAACTTTAGTTTTAGGAATACTGGTATATAAACGTTCTATACCGTCGCTTTTTTTTTTTTTTTTTTTTTTTTTTGAGACGGAGTTTCGCTCTTGTTACCCAGGCTGGAGTGCAATGGCACGATCTCGGCTCACCGCAACCTCCGCCTCCTGGGTTCAGGCAATTCTCCTGCCTCAGCCTTCTGAGTAGCTGGGATTACAGGCACCCGCCACCATGCCCAGCTAATTTTTTGTATTTTTAGTAGAGACGGGGTTTCACCATGTTGACCAGGATGGTCTCGATCTCTTGACCTCATGATCCACCCGCCTCGGCCTCCCAAAGTGCTAGGATTACAGGCTTGAGCCACCGCGCCCGGCCTATACCGTCGCTTAAGCAGAAGGTAGAAGCTACGCTATCGCTTTGCATTGTAAAACACTTCTGTTAATAATTTCTTAACTCATTTTTTTGAAAGCCATTTTTTAAAATTATGGCCTCAGACTTCAGCTATGATGGAAGTAGAGAATTTAAATTTGACTTTTCACAGCTCAGAATAAGGAAGCAAGACCACTGTGGCTTAGAAGGATTGGGATATGGGAGCCAGGAGTGCTTTCAGCAGGAGAGAAGTCTTTCATTCAATAGGGAGCATTAGTTGAGTGCTTCATGTGCTTGGAGCTAGAAGCTTGGAGGTGATTAAGACACAATCCATTCCCTCATAGAGCTCATGAGCAGAGTGGGCAGGGCCATGCATGTAGGCAAGCAGTTATAAAAAGGCCAGTGCTGTAATGGTGGCATGTTCAAGGTGTTCTAGGAACCTGAGGAGAAACTGCCTAGCTCTGTGTAGGGAAATGTCTAGGAGGGCTTCATTCAAGAAGTATCCTTTGAAATGAATCATAAGCAGTAAATGGTGATTCACTGTGTGGTTGAGGGCAGGGAATAGCATTTCTGGAAGGAGATAATAGACAAGATTCATTCTCTGAGTGCTGCAGTGATGTAAACGCAAGGTTCACTAATTCATGGAAGAAATTTTTTTTAACCTGGTGATCTAAGAACTAGAATAAGGAATTTACAGATCTTGAGGCTTAGTTGTAATTTCTTTATATTCAGATAATTATTTAATCTTTTCTGTGCTATGTAAAAGCTGTGTGCTACTACATCTTTTCTAGTCTAATGTTTGCCCATCGTCCACGATCTTGGAGAGAAATGCCTATTAGATTTGCTGATTTTGGAGTTCTGCATAGAAATGAACTGTCAGGGACGCTCAGCGGCTTGACCAGAGTGAGGCGCTTCCAGCAGGATGATGCTCACATCTTTTGCACAGTGGAGCAGGTAAACAATAACACAGAGAAGCATGGTGGTCACAAATTCAGTGTGATGCCCCGAACATGTCTTGTATTCTTTCAGAGTTACTGAAACATGGATGTTTGGTCTAGTCTCTGAGATCTCATTCAGCTCTAGCCTGCTGTGATTCTCTAAATTAGGTCAATAGATTAATAATCTCTTGACATGAAATGTATTACTTTTTCTTTGGCTTCTTTCAATGATTTTATTAACCTAAATTCCATTAAGTAGAGTATTTTAAGGGTTTTGGTGGAATCCTGGATGTTTTGTTTTTCAGTATTGCCTAGAACTTAAAATGTACTTTTTCAAGTTTTTGTGTTAATTCAAGTTAAAATTGCCATGCAAAGGGTTACTGTCAAACAATTTGACATAATTGATGTTTATGGAAAAACAGCAGAATATACATTCTTTGGTTTTTCTTTTTTTGGCTTTATGTTGAATGGCTAATATGCCAATGTTGTACCAAGGTATGAGGGTGCATATCTTACACATGTGTGTACACCCAATCATCATGCTTATGAACCACAAAAGGGTCAGAATATTTGTTCTTTGAAACTGCACAGAGAATATTTACTAGGATAGGCCATATTCTGGGCCATAAAACAAGTCTGAATAAATTAAAAGGGATTTAATTTTAAAAATGTTTTAATTAACCCTAATGTTTCAACTTAACCCTAATGTTTAACCCTAAACCTAACTGACCACAATAGAAATAAAATAGAAATCAATAACACAAAATCCAAAGGAAATTTAAAAAAATTTATGTAGCAAATGAAAATAAAAACATATACATTAAAATTTGTGGGATGCCATTTAACTGGTATTTAGAGGGATGTTTATAGCACTGAATACCTCCATTAGAAAAGAAAAATCAATGACTTAGCTTTTACTTAAGATAGAAAAAGAAGAACAAATATACCCAATGTAGTATGAGCAAAAGAAAGGCAATAAGAAAGAACAGCAGAAATCATTGAAATAGAAACAGAAAATAGAGAATATAAATAAAACTAAAACTGGTTCTCTGAGAAGATCAATAAAATTGATAAACCTTTAGTCAGACTGATGAGGAAAAAAGAGAATACGCACATTAAAAATGTCAGGAATGAGACATATTATTACTACAGATTCTGTAGCTATTAAAAGGATAAGGCAGTTTTCTGAATAACTTTATGCTAATACATTTGACAGCTTAGATAACATGGATAAATCCTTGAAGGACACAAGCTATTCAACTTTACTCAAGAAGAAGTAAATAATCTGAATAGCCCTGTGTCTACTACAGAAATCAAATTGATAGTTAAAAACCTTCCCATACAGAAAACTCCAGGCCAAGATGGCTTTACTGGTGAATTCTACCAAACATTAAAGAAGAAATAGTAGAGATACTCATCCAGAAAATTGAAGAGGAGGAAATCCTTACCACCTCCTGAAGCAAATGAAGCTAATATTGCTCTGATAGAAAAATAAGACAAAGAAGTTAAAAGAAAGCTACTGAACAGCATCTGTCATGAGCATAAAATCAGAAAATGTAAACAACATTTTAGTAAGTCAAGTCTAGTAATTTTTTAAAGAAGGATAATAGGTCTTAATGGTCTGAATCCCAGGAATGAAAATTTAGTTTAACATTAGAAAATGAATCCTTGTAATTTCCCACTTTCACAAACTAAAAAAGAAAACAAACAAAAAGACAGAAAACATATGATCTTCTTAGTAGATGGAAGAAAAAGTATTTGGCAAAATTCTACATCCACATCTCTTAAAAACTCTCGAAACTAGGAATGGAGGGAACTTTCTTAACCTGATAAAAAGGCCTCCATGAAAAACCTACAGCCAACATCATACTTAATAGTGAAAGTCTGAATGCTTTACCTTTAAGATCAAGAACTAGGTAAGGATTCTCTCATTACTTCTCTGATCATTGTACTGTAGGTTCTTTCTGATGCAGTAAGTTAAGAAAGAGAAAATGAAAAACCATCTAGATTGGAAAGAATTAACACTCTTCTAAATGACATGATCATCTATGTAGAGATTAGATGGAATCTACAAAAAGCTATTAGAAGTAAGATGAATTTAGAAAATTGTATGGAATATCAATATATAAAAATCAATTGTATATGCATTTCATAACAATGAACCCTTGGAAATTGCAAATAAGAAACAATAATTATAATAGCATCTCAAAACATATGATAATACTTTCGGATAAGTGTTCTCCGGAGAAATAGAGATAATAGGATATATAGATATATGAGGAAATTTATTACAGGAATTGGCTCACTTGATTTTGGAGGCCGAGAAGTCCCATGATATGCCAGTTACAAGCTGGAGAACTAGGAACGCTAATGGTATAACTCCCAGTCTGAGACTGAAAGCCTCAGTGGGGTGAGCAGAGGAGGGAGCTGGTATAAGTCCCAGAGTTGGTGGGCCTGAGAACCAGGAGCTCAGTGTCTGAGAACAGGAGAAAGTAACGGTCACAATTCAAAAAAAGAGAGATTTTGCCCTTCCTGCTTTTGAGTTCCATTCCTGCCCTCAACAGATTGGATGAAGTCCACCCACATTGGTGAGGGTAGAACTTCTTTACCCATTCCACTGTTTCAGATGCTCATCTCTTCAAGAAATACCCTCGTGGACATTCCCAGAAATAAATGTTTTAAGGGCGGCCAGCTGTCTGGCATCTCCTAGCTCAGTCGAGTTGACACTTAAACATCACAAGGCATTACCTTCAGCAAACTTACACAGGAACAGAAAACCAAATTTGTATGTTCTCACTTATAAGTGGGAGCTGAACAATGAGAACACATGGACACAGGGAGGGGAACAATACACACGGGGGCCTGTCAGAGAAAAGTGCGGGGAGGGAGAGGGTCAGAATAAATAACTAACACATGCTGGCCTTAAATACCTAGGTGATGGGTTGATAGGTGCAGCGAACCACCATGGCACACGAATACCTGTGTAACAAACCTGCACATCCTGCACATGTACCCAGGAACTTAATAATAATAATAATAATAATAATAAAACAAGGCCGTATGTGGTGGCTCACACCTATAATCCCAGCACTTTGGGAGGCTGATGCAGGTGGGTCACTTGAGGCCAAGAGTTCAAGACCAGCGTGGCCACCGTGGTGAAACCCCCTCTCTATTAAAAAAAATACAGAAATTAGCCAAGCATGGTGGCCAGCACCTGTAGTTCCAGCTGCTCGGGAGGCTGAGGCATGAGAATTGCCTGAATTCAGGAGGCAGAGGTTGGAGTGAGCTGAGATTACACCACTGCATTCCAGCCTGGGAGACAGAGCAAGACGGTCTCAAAAGAACAAAACAAAACAAAACAATAGCCATCACATTTAATCAATGAAAGACTTGATGTCTCAAATCCATCAAATTCCCTGCATTTCATCTGCTACTCTCTGGTTTAAGCCACTGTCATCTTGCTCCTGAATGACTCCTCCAGCTTCCTGTTGGGGCTCTCTTCTAATCTTGCAAATTCATTCCTCATACTGTAAAAGAACACACTGGGTCATGTTAGTTCTCTGCTTAAACGAAACAAAAACCCTTCATTGCCTCCCAGTTGGTCTCAGGCTAAAAAGTCCATATATTCATCTGGCTTTGAAAGCACTTAATTTTTTCTGGTGCCTGCCTGCCTCTAGCCTGCTCAACCTACCACACTGCCCCTCTGCCCTTTATCCCATCATATGCAGCCCCCTGACTTAGTCTGCTTATCTTTCTGCTGCGACTTCAACTCAGTGTGTCCTCTGCTCACAGAGCTCCTGAGCTACCTCCATGCCGAGCGCTTGCTTGTCCCCTGCTCTAGCTGGGTCTCACTTTCTCTGGGCAGCTCCTCCTTGCTGCTCTCCTCTGCATGCTGCGGCCTTGTCACAGTATAGTTTCCTCACCTACTTCTGCTCCATTCCCTGCACTGGCCTGGAGCCACTGCCGGTCCCCACCTGCCTACCACTCAGATGAAGGTTCAACTCAGGATTGGTTGAACAACCAAAACAGGGTCATCAACTGCTCTCCGTTAAAAACACACTTTATTTCTATCTGACATGAAGAGTTTTATTTTTAAAAACATAAATGAATTTAATTCAGTGTTCTATTTGAGTGTTTATTTGCTTTGATTTCAGATTGAAGATGAAATAAAGGGATGTTTGCAGTTTTTACAATCTGTTTACTCAACATTTGGCTTCTCCTTTCAATTAAACCTGTCAACAAGGCCTGAAAACTTCCTAGGAGAGATTGAGATGTGGAATGAGGCTGAGAAGGTAAGAGACGCACTTTGTGCTTCCTCTTCGTTTTAGTCATGTGGAAGACACCTTTGCAGGAGGATGCGATAATTTGTAACAGAAATTTTGAAATTGGAAATTATGGGATAAATTTATAGGTTGTAGAATGTGGTTATCCCATTTTCTTTGTAAAAGTGATAATAATACCTTACATTTGTTTCACACTTTAAGTTTATATCTGGCTTTTATTTATACTCTTTCAGTGCTGGTCACTAATAACTGGCGCAAGTTTTTAAAGAAATCCTCTTATTTTCTGTGACTCTTGATTTGTGTGGTTAATTTTAAACCATTGCCTGTTGAGTCATCTTAGTCTGACTATGGGGTCCGGGGGCTGCGTGGTCTAGATGGAGACGTGCATGCTTGATGCTGGAGTCCCTTTCACAGTCACGTCCTGTTGTGCCCTGCCCTGTGTCTGTCTGCAGACACCCACACGCAGACGTTATAGCTGAGCTTTGCAAAACCAAGATAAGGAGCTCATCGTGCTGCTTTCTTTTTTTCTTGTTAAGCACAAAGGATATAGTGTGTTTCCTGTGCTCGCTTTTATTAAAAATGAGGATGGTATCATGGCCAGACACCTGGCTCTGCCTGTTAGTTCTCTTCTTGGAATATAATAATCCCCACTTATCCGTGGGGATTAAGATTCCAAGTGGATTCCTGAAACCCTGGATGGTACCAAATAGATGGCAAACAGAACATGTCTCTATTCATGCCTTCAACTTACAAATCTAATGTCGTTTCTTATCTTAACTAAGCACTTTTCATGCACTGTGGCTGGAACTTTTGCATTGTGAGGTGCAACAGCAAAACCAGCATGATTGGCGTTTTCCGTCTTCACTAATTCACAACTTAACCAATGGATAGAAGATTTTTTTTTTAACCATAGCTCTTAGCAACTTCAGCATAGGATTATTTTTTCCTTATTAAATGGATAACTTTCACCTTTTCACTTAAAGGAAGCATTTTGTGGCTCCACTCTGGCATATCCAAATTGCTAGCATCACAACTCTTGTGCTTTGAGGCCATGGTTAAGGAAAATAAGGGTTACTTGAACCTAAGCACTGTGATATTGCATATTTGATAAGCATGACAGCTTCTAAGGGACTAACTGCAGGGGGCAGTGCATCTAGCATGGAGACTGGACAAAAGGGCAGTTCCCATCCCAGGCAGGATGGAGTAGGATGGAGCAGGATGGTGCTTTATCCTGCTGCTCAGGGCAGTGCATGACTTAAAACATATGAGTTGTTTATGT